TAATATAACTTTGCAATAGTGATGAGAGATTATAAAAAAATACAAGAATAACTTCACAATTAAGATAAGAAATTATAAAAATACTATCTAAAGGAAAACTAAACTGAATTATATTGGAGTTATTAATTAATTATTTTTCTAAGCTAAGATACACACTGTATTTATAAGTATTTAATAATTATAAAATGATTATTTGAAATGATCATTCAGAATATTTGAAATAATTGTTTGAAATAATCATTTATAATAATCATTTGGAGTATTTAAAATAATCATTTGAAATAATCATTTGCAATAATTATTTAGAGCACTTAAGATAATTGGTTGAAATGATTATTTGAAGTAATCATATGAAGTGATTATGTGAAATGATTATTTGTGATTATGAATAATATTTAATTACAACAATATGATTTAATTATATAATAAATTTTGCTTTAATTATTTACAAAATTAAAATCAATATAATATAATTGTGATCTTTATTTATAAATATTGATTTTTATCAAATATAAATAAATATTAATATAAATTATTATTTATTTATTAATTATAATAATTGATATTTATTTTCTTAAAAAATTTTTTGATAATAAATATAAATAATTAGTATTTATATTTAAAAAATTAGAAAAACAAAATACTTTTAAATTTAAAAATTAATTATAATTATATATTTTTATTAAAAATTAATTAATAATAATTATAATTAATTATAAATAATTATAATTAATTATAAATAATTATAATTGATTATAATTATTATTAATAAATTAATAATAAATAATTAATTATAATTAATTATTAATTATCAATAATATATACTAATAAATATATAATTTTAATTAATTATAATCAATAATAAATAATTAATTAAAATTAATAATCATTGATTATAGATAATCACTAATTTTAAATAAAAATTAATTATATTAATTTTAATAATTATTAATTATATCTAATTATAATTGAATATAAAAATTTTTTCAGTTAGTAGTTTTTTGTTAATTTAATTATTGCTATTATATATAAACTTTGTTAATAGTTCTAAATTTTTATTTAAATTAATAAATAAAAGAGATAGTATTATAATTCATAATTTCTTATTTTAATTTTATAATTTTAATTTCTTAATTCTAATTTTTTAATTTTATAACTTCTTAATAATATATTTAATATTATATTTAATATATTTATTAAATTATTTATATTAAAAATATTAATTATAACAAATATATTTATTATATTAATATACTTTCAAATTATATAAATACAATATAAAATAAAGTTTTGAGTATTATTAATTAATTATAATAAAAATTTAGCTAGTTAATAAATTATCTCTTGTTTATTATTAATAAAATTTGTATATTAATTAATTATTCTATAATTATTATATTTATTAATACATTTATATTTTGTATTATTAGATATTAATCAAGTTATTAAAGAATATTATTACTATATTACTTTAGAACTATTTCATACTAAATAGATATACTATTTATTAATAATAATAATAATGAAAGTTTATCTATCAAATAGAAAAAAATATATTATATAGTAATTCTAAAATAATATAATTTAACAAAATTAAATACATAAAGTACAAATAATATAAATATTAATTAAATATTTATATCATAAAAATATTTATTAGGAGCTCACTCACTTATAATAATAGCTAAGTTAATTAAATTATTGATATTATTTGAATTTTATTAAGTTGATTAATTTGCTATAGCTTTTATTAATTAATCATATTTTAGCAGAATCTTTTAAATATATATATCCTTACATTATATTATTAAAAATTAAAAAAATAGTAAAAATAGTAAAATTGATATTATTTTTTTATATTAAAATTTGTTATTTTATTAATAAAATAATAGATTTTAATATAAAGAAATAATTTTAATTTTACTTTATTTTTTTTAATTTTTAGTAATATAATATAGAAATATGTACATTAATAATTTGTCTTTTTTTAATATCAAATATATTATTAATTTAACTTGTATTCTCAAATCTTGAAATTATTCAATTAAATCTTGAATATTTTTACAAGTTTATTTATTAATTATTAAATTAACTTATAAACTTAAATTTGAGTTAAAAGAGAAAATTAAATAATAATTAAAAAATAAATATCTAAGTTCTATATTAATTTTTATAAAAATTGTAATAATTCAAAGATATAATAAAAATATATAAGTATTATAGGAGAATAAAGATTGAAAAAAAAATAGAAATTATAAAATAAATAATAAAGAGAATTTTGAAATATTAATTCTTTGTACTTGTATAAAGCTTTTTAGAGCTAAATAATATAATTAATAATAATAACAGATTTTTTTACTTTGTTTTTCTTATAAATAAAAAATAACAAAATATTAAAATTAAAAATAACAAATATTCAAAATAACAAAAATTAAAATACTGAATTAATTTAATAATAATATTTTATTTAGCACAATATAATATAAATTTTATAAATTTAATAATATCATTTTGTTTAGCACAATATAATTCAAAGTCATTTATATATAAGCTTTAATATATATAATTAAAAGTGAAAGAGATAAATATTATTTGAAAAAAAATTTTTGTTAAGAGAAAATTTTATTTTTTATTTGTAATATGTTGAGTTAAGGTTCAGACAGCATCCCTATTTATATATTTTTTGAAAATACAAATTTCAATAAAAGAATTATCTAATAATAAAATAACTATTCAAAAAAATTAAAATAAAATATTAAATATAGAAGAAAATAAAATATAAAGTAAAATATTGAAAAGAAAAAGAAAATATTGAATAAGATAGTGAATAAGAAATAAATATTAAATAAAATATTATATAAAAAATAAAATAAGAGATAAAATATTGAATAAAAGAGATAAAATATTAGATAAAAAATAAAATATTGGATAAAAAATAAAATAAAGAATAAAAATTGAATAAAAAATAAAATATTAAGTTATTTTGTTATAATTATCATTTTTCTAATATTTTTGAATTTTTATAATATTTTACAAATTAAAAAAATTTATATTATTATTATTAATAAAGTTATTAAATTGAATTTCATTTATTATCATTTTGTTTTATTATTTTTCTTGAAATTCTAATTTTTTTAGAATTTTTTATTCTTAAATTTCTTTTTTTGAATCTTTTCTAAAGTTAATAAATGTGAGTTATTTTGAATTATAATTTAATTTTTTAAATTTTAAAGTTTAGTTAATTGTTTTCAAAGTTTTTGTTATTAATAATAAATTTTTTTGTACAATAAAATTTGTAACTTCTTATTAAAGATTATATTATATATATATTTATATTGCTAGTTTATTGTATTAAGAATATTTTTTAATAATTTGGTAAATTAATTTACTAATTTGATAATTGAATTTTCCAAGTAAATTTTATTAAAGATATTTACTAACTGATCTTTTATTTTTTTTAATTGTTACTTGTTGAGATTTGTCTTTAATTCAACTTTTTTTATAATTTTTAGAATGCTTGATTAATTTTCATATTAATTAATTTTGTTGAACCTAGTTTGAAAAGTTAAATAAAATATAATTAACAACTTGTTCATCCACAGAGAATTCTTTGATAAATAATTCTTTATTTTATCAAGAAATTTTTTATTCAATATTCTTTAAACTTCTTTATATTCTTTGATATAATTTACAAAAAATTCTTTTACTAATAATTGTTTTTTTGTAAAGATATCTTTATAATATATTTTGATTTATAAAGAAATCTTTTACTAATAATTATTCTTTTAAAATAATGTAATTATAATAATGTTTGAGATTTTGATTCACAAAAAAATCTAATAATATGTGATAAAAAAATAACTATATTATTTAAATTGAATAATTTTGAATAATTTAAATAATAAACTCATATATGAAATCATATTATTTAAATTATTCAATAATAAATAATTATTTAATTGTCCAATAATATATAATAATAATCAAAAGAAATATAACAATATCAAAATTTATTAATAAATTAAAATACGATTTTTATTTCTATATACAAGTTTTCATTTTATTTTTTATTTTATACAAAAAAATACAAATAAAAATACATATTTTAACATATATTTTTTTCTAATTAATTAATTAGAAAAACTTTTTCAAATTAAATTTAAAATACATGTTAAATATTATATAAAAAATATTAATTAGTAAAATCAAAACTTTTATCTAGAGAAAAATTTGCATTTATTATGTTTTATTAATGAATTTTAATGCTATTGCATTGTTTTGATTGCCACTGTATATTACAATAACTAATAGTAAAATATTCATCTCGTAACAACGCGGGCAATTTTTATTAAGTTCCGATCATCATAGTACAGTTCGGATTTTTCGGTGTATTTCTCCGTCAAATGACGATCAGTATTACAGATCGTCAGGGGTCATATGCTTAAATCAGCTGATAACGCCATTCTAGAAACCATTGATAATGTATATGCTAATTTCGTGGACAACAAATCTTCTAAGTTTGTTACACATGATACACAAAACACACGTACGACACGACACATACACGGTCCCTGGTACAAATGTATGATTTGGTGCAATAAAGAAGAAGAGGAAAACGATAAATGAAATGATGGTAATACTTGTGTATTTCACCTGCCAAACGAAGCTAGCATTAAAAATTAAATCGATCAAGTCAACAGCTTAATATTAAATATTAATATTACCAAAAATTCGATAAAGTTTGGAAAGCTCATCATTTTCCCTCGTTTAATTTCTACCCTTGTACACTATCTTTTGTGTGCACCAATCAGACGCACTACTACAGTTACTATTATTATCAACTACTACTATTATTATTATTATTATTATTATTATTTTTATTTTTACTGTTGTCTTGCTTAGATCTCAAATGCCGAAAGATTTAACAACTTAAAAAATAAAAAAAAATAATTTTTTCGAATATCATTCTATTATTTCAACTATTACTGCCTGTATGTTAAATGGATTTTCCAACAACGGAAGTACTGTTCCCGTCGTCGCCAGCATCACCGACTACTCCCACGACACCACAATCCTCGTCGCAATACTCGTCAATGTTGCAGCCACCCTCACCAAATCCTGTAAAGATGAGCAGTAATACGTTTGTTCACAAATTGTACAAGTAAGGATATTTTTTCTTTGTTAAATTCATTAATTTCTATTTTTTTGTAGTATATGTATACATATATATGTGCCTGTTTAGAAATTTTATTTATCGAAAAATGCTAATTGGATTATTTGATTGTATTTTATATGTTACTTTAGCATGGTAGTTGATAAGCAATATCAACATCTTATTGCGTGGAATTATACCGGCACGTCGTTTATTGTTTGTAATATCATGGAATTCTCTCGTGATGTGCTGCCGAAACATTTCAAACATAATAATTTCTCGAGTTTTGTAAGGCAGTTGAATATGCAAGTATTGTTTCTATCACCACATAGGCTCTCTTCAAAATTCATCATTTTTTTCAAATAATACTTATTACTTGACACTTTTATTATTTTCACATATATATCATTAAATTAAAATTTCAGGTACGGCTTTCACAAAGTAAATAAATCCCCGCGGGGCCACCGCACACTGGCTGAAAACCAAATTTGGGAATTCTCCCATCCAAAATTTCTACGTGGCCGCCCGGACCTTCTGGACGACATCAAACGTAAAGCGATGGAATCCGAAACACTACGTCGCGAGACGGGCGATCTTCACGCACATCTAGCAATGATGCAAGTAGCGCAGACGGATTTGTTGCAACAGATTAGTCAGCTGCAAGAGAATTTCTCAGAAGTGATGCGCGAGTTACGAGAGACAAAACACAAGCAAACGCAGCAGCAGCAGTGGATAAAGAGTATGTGGGAGATGATGCAGTCGCAAAATTCGACGTCACAAAGTGAGTTAAGTTCACTTTATTTTAAGTAAATATTATTTGCTTTTTCCTTTATTTTTGGTTTGTATTTTTTCGGGGATTTGAGGGCGTGCTGCCTTATATAAATATAGATATATATCATATATTAGATTTATTGTTAATAAAAATGTACATGTTGATTATCAATCATTTTGCAAGTTTGAAATTGCTCTTCTAGTTTACTATTCCGATCAATCATTAAAGAATAGTAATAATAATGAATATAACTGTACATGACGCATGAATCAATCAATCAAAATTATACAATATATAATTATTTCTTCAATCATATATACATTTAATTTTATCCAGTTCCTTTTGACCTCAACCTTCCTGATAATTTTGAAATAAAACCGGAACAACCAGAACGCCCACCCATATACATAACATCACCAGAAAACAGCAACATAAATTACCTATTTAACCTCCAATCACACAACCAATCACGCTCCACGCCCACACTACAAATCGATACAAATATATCACCCACCTCCACCTCACCTCATCATCATCGACACAACAGCGTCTCAAGCACACACGGTCCTCATCCGGGAGGTAGCACGAATGGCGGCCAAAGCCCAACTCACCGTCTGAATATCACGCTTCCACCGAACCCGTACTTGGGCGGAAACAATTCACTGATAAATCAGCAGCCACCATTGTCACCGAACTCATTAAGTTCTTATAATACTGCGGTAAATACACCTTTACCCCCAAGTCCATCGCCTGGATCACCGTTAGGAAATATGATTTCAGATGATGATATGGATGGTAGTATTTATAGCCGATCAGAGTATGGTGAAGATATTTATGAAATGTAAATACATGTGTTCTACTTTATAATATACATATATACATAAAATCTGCAGCCCCGCGAAACCAATCCTTGAATTTTCGGTCCAAGCCTACGGGATGAACATCAACAAGACAGAGTGGCGGTGATGTCGTCGATCGATTAACGCAGTAATAATAATAATAACGCTCACCAACAACAACTGTATTCTTGGTTCGATCCTGGGATCTTTTCTCCTCCTCTTCGTCCTCATGCTACTATTAATATTACTACTATCTCTATAACTTTCTATCACTACAACTACTATGATCAGCTCGCTTTTTTTACTTTATTTTTTATTTTATTTTATTTTATTTCTTTGATTCATCATCAATTTTAACTATTATTGCTACTACTTTTACTTCCAGAGCATCACCTACTACCTAAATCTATTCTACTACCACCACTACCAAACATCACCATTACCATTACCATCACCATCACCACCACCACCACCACCACTACCACCCTTTTTTATATTGAAAACTTTTTGAATGTATACTGTAAATTGATATCATCGAATGAATGGGTGGATGATATGTAATATACGGATTCCGACATCGTCAACATATTCGATCAATTATTCTACTATATTAAAACTTTTTTATCTTTTACATGCAAGCGTCTTGAACAAAGATAGAAGCATACTTTTTATCACGACATTTACACAAGCATATTTACAGACACTTTTCATAACAACAATCATAATCAACAATTACCAACATGCATTAGGAAAAAAATAGCAATAATATTATTTTTTAATAAAAAATGATATTGTTGATGTCATGTTGATATCGTTGATAAAAAAAATTACGAAAAGTGTAGACATTGACATAATTTTTTGTAGAATAATATTTTACGCGTAAACACATACAACACACCACACACATTATATATGACCCGTCATCATCATCATTTCTACTTTTATTAACAAATTACCCATACACTCGCTTTTAAGGTGAGATATCTTCGGGTTTTATCATTAATACTATTACGTAACAAGGACTTTTTGTATCTGTTGTATTTTTTGTTGTTTATTTAGTTATTATAATTTTCTTTCTTTTGGATCGTGTACTTAAATCTTAGGTTTTTTATTTTATTTTTTCTCTACAATCTTCTCCCTTCCTTGATCGTGCTTTATATATACATACTCTTTCCCCAACACGCAGTCTTACATATTCTTCCCATGTTCCCCCTCCCCATAATTTATTTTTTCGCATTATGATTATATTAGTATTATTTGTTGATGGGTATTATTGATATATACACTTATTATTTTTCGTCTTATTAAAGAATGAACGTAAATTAATTTTTGTGATGAAGAAAATGAATTTAATCTTTGTTATAAATGAGTTAATAGAGTTGTCTGATATAAGTTTCTTTTGGATGTTTGCATTGGTAAATAAATGATATCATTTGTTAATTGTCTTTAAATAATAAATGCTTATATTGCGTATATTATAAGAGAAGAATAAATGTATTTGTTATTTGTAACAATCGCATTTTAATTGGTTAATTAGAATCTGTGTTAAAGATTCTGGATATGTGATTGGTTAATATTGAAATTGTTACATATAACAGTGGTTATAATTAGATTGATTCTTAAGAAAAATATATTATTTAATATAATGGAGAACATCATAAAATATCCAATATTGCATTATAATGCCAATTTTGAATTGTAAATTTTATATCATTATTTTAAAAATAGTTGTGCTAATAAATGAATTATTTTTGATTTTGAAAATCAATATGTACATTGTTTTGAACATATTATTAATTTGATTGCTCAAAATATATTTAAATCACTTAAAGAAAAAGAACCAGAAAAAGAAGTATTAGAAACAAGAAAATCTTATTGAAATGAAAAGATTAGATTAAAAAAATTATATAATTTTGTATTTTTTTATTATGGTTCAAATAATCTATACTTAACAATTTGTTTCAATTTCTAAAATCTTTAAACTTAATGTAAAGACAAAATTTCAAATTTTGATTAGTAACTTTATAGAGCTTATTATAAAGAACAAAGTTATTAATCAAATTTTGAAAATTTTGCTCTATATTGAATTTAAAAATTTTAAAAATTGAAACAAATTGTCAAGTATAAATTACTTAAATTATATTTATATTATTTTAGTTAAGAAAATTAGTAATTAAAACTCATATATCATTACAACAATATGAATATCTTAATTGTCAATATATTACTTTGAATATAAAAATACTTCAGTTAATTTTTATATAAAAACTCATTGAAATTTAATTTATATAATATGATAAAAAAATATTATTTTTGTATAAAATAAAATATATTTGTATAATAATTTATATATTGTTATTATTTTGTTAGATTTAAGTTATTTACATATTATTTATATGTTTTTATTAACTTAAAAATGAAAGAAACAAAGTTTTTATATTGGAAAAGATTAAAAATTATTATTAAAAATAGGTAATGTGTTCTTATTGTGATAAACTGGAATAATACCCAATAACTTTATTAAGTTTTACTTTTTAGAATTTCAAAAATTATAACACAAAATAATAAGTTTATCAAGTAATTGTCTTTCAAGTCAATAATAATAATTTATTATAAGTAATTTATCTTTTAAAATCAAAAATTAATATAAATATAACTTTACAAGTTATCTAAAATTATTAAAAATCTACTAATTCTAAACTAAAATATATAATATATTTATATAAATTATATATTATATAATATTATTAGTTTTATTATTGTTATTATTAATTTAATTAAATATAAGCATTGCTAATGCTAATAGTATTAATACAAGTATTAATATTATTATTATCATTAACACAAGTTTAAAAATTAATAATATTTAAATATAATTATTTAATAAAATAAAAATAAATATTTAATAGAAATATTATTAATTATAATTCAATAATAAATAATAATTTCATTATTCAATGAAATTATTCATCAAATATTATATGATGACTATATATAAAGTAAAGGAAGATATTATAGTACATTTAAGAATTATCAATAATAATAATTTATAAAAAAATTTAATTATTCATAAAATTTATTTAGATAATATAATTTTTATTTTATTTTAAATCTAAACTAAAAAAATTACAAATAGTTAAAATATTATATAACTTTTATTAAAATAAATGATTTTAACTTTCAAAAAGATAATATGATAGATTAACATAAAATTATTATTACTTAACTTACTTATTTTTTTATTGTTATTTTTTCATATTTGCTTTGTTTTTTTATATATATTATGTTTTTACAATTTTTCTAGCTCACACTTGGCTCACCTTTAAAGAGTTTATTTTCTTTTTTTGTTTTATAATTTAGTTTTCTTTTTTGCTAACTCATCCACTTCTTTCAATATTTGTAATGATTCATTATTAGTAAAAAGCTAAACAAATAATAGAATTTTTTTTCTTTTTAATAATTGAATATTATTAATTTCTAATTTGTTAATATATTGCAAAAGTCAAAAAGTAGAATATTTAAGTACAAGTTTTAATAGGCAAGTATCAGAATTTTTAAAGATTTCTAGTTTTTTTGTACTAATAAATTATATTTTCTTTTTTGAATAACTCATTTTCTTTTTAAGAAACACAATTTCTTTTTTTAATAGCTCTATTTTTCTAGTAATACTAGTTTAAGTAAAATATATATGAATTAATTAAAATAATATATCAAATTTTGAAAGTACTATTATATATTTTTCACTAATTAAGTAATTAGCTAATAAATACAAACAAAAATTAGAAGAGATAATTAGACAAATATAAGAATAATACAAAAATAATATCTAAATCCTATGCCAATTTTTATTGAAATTGTTATAGTTCAAAAAGAGAAAAGAATAAGGTAATAGTGTTCTAATTAAATATAGTATTTTGAATAACTATACTAATTAATTAATTTACAAATTATTTAATTGAAGTAATAAAAAAATTAACTAATTAATTAAAATAACAAAAATAATAAAAGTAACAAAGATTCTTTCATTTTATTTTTCTCACAAGAAAGAAATTATGATATTTTTAGTTGAGGAATTCCAAATAATTCAATTATAACAAAAATATCAAAAAACTAGTCTATAACAAAATATCAATTCAATAATTCAATATCAGCGTTTTGATCAGCTCAATACGATCTCAAAGCTACTTGTTCACAAGATTTGAAGTGTACTTTTGAGAGGGTAATGCGAATTGTTTAAGTGTTAAAAGGTATTTGTTTTATTCTGTTATTTATTCTCAAGTTCTGACAT